CCCGCCAGGGACTGGAGATCTGTCCACGTGTCCCGCCAGGGACTGGAGATCTGTCCACGTGTCCCAGCCAGGGACTGGAGATCTGTCCAGGTGTCCCGCCAGGGACTGGAGATCTGTCCACGTGTCCTGCCAGGGACTGGAAATCTGTCCAGGTGTCCTGCCAGGGACTGGAAATCTGTCCAGGTGTCCCCCACCTCTCACAGTGACTGATAGATATGTGCATTAATGACACCCCACAACCCAAAAAGGCAGAAGCAGGTGAAGATAACGGATGGATGGTTGGATGGATGCTGGTTGGATGGATGATGGATGTGTTGCTCACTGGTCAAACATTTTGCTCAAGTGCACGTCGTCAGTAGTTTGCAGCCGGTGACGCAGCCCAACAGTTTACATCAAATATTTATGAACAAACCACTGAAGCAAAACTTGGAGAATTTCACAAACAGAGGAAACGACGTGCACAGAAAAAGCCCAGAGAACACGTGCACGTAGCACAGCTGGAGTGTAGCTTACCTAGCTGAGCCTGTGTGCCATCAGACATCTGGATAAGAGCGTTCTCCTTTTTATTGAACAAGATCTTGACTCTCATCACGTCTCCGTACACGCCTGAGGAGGAAGGGCCGCAAGTGAAACACAAGTACAAGAGAATCCATGAGAAGAGCTGGAGCCACACAAGCAACCACAGCAACAAGAAACCAGTTCAACCACCACAGATCACAACAGTTCTGGTGTTACCAAGTGAATCACGTTGCACTAGTCTACAAATGTTCTGCTTCATTCTACACAGCCTCTATAAACCTACAAGTCCTATCAGTGACACACACGAGGCTACGTGTGGCAGCAGCTTGAAGATAGGAATCAGTGAGAGTTGAGACCAAACTCATGGCTCCATGGATAAGGAGATGATTAATGGGCCAACTGGAGGCCTGAATGAAAGCATGCAGAAATGACATACTCATGCACCGACAGTAAACGTTCAGCTAAAAGCTGCAGCATTTCATCGTAAACGTCACAGAAGCTGAATCAATTCGTGACGATGATCGTGTCAGTTTGAGGGTGGGAGAGATTTCAGAGGTCCTGTGATGGTTGAATGTTGCTAATGTTGAATTTCTTGCACGAGGACGAAGTGCAGCTTGAACTTATGGTGCCGAGCGTCCTGAGACGACACTCGGTGCTCGGCTGCACTCGCTCTGTTCGTGCTCATGAAATGCAGCAGCTTGGTGGTGTCCATCTTACTTTATCACACCAAGCAACAATCAAACCCCTGAACAGACACCCCGCCCGACGCTCACATCACTGTAGCTTGCTGGTGGTTTGAAGATTTAAACAGTTCATAAGGCAAACATCATGAGACGACATACGCCCACCTTGCCAGGTAACAGTAGTAATAAAAGGAGATGAAAGGATGATAACGTACCGAAAAGAATAAAGAGGCAGTGTGGCGTAACGCTCTTTAGAGACAGCAGGGAGGAGCAGCGGGGCAGGGGCCAAAAAGGGGAGGAGGGGACAGGGGAAAAAAGACGGAGCGGAGTGGAGGACAGTGGAGTCGGGACATGTCCACAGGCGGCGAGGTCCACAGGAAGGCCACAGTACCATGGAGGAAGGAGAGGCATGAGGGACATACAGAATGAAGACAGCAAGGAAGGAAGAGGGGGAGAGTGTCAAACGTGTGGAAAGATAAAGAGAAGACATGAGGACGAGAAGGAGGTCATGGTCAAATTCATGTGTGTTTATTTTGTTATGTGGGTCAAATCCAAATTGGGGACAATGTCGTGAGGAAGTGGAGTGGGGTGGGGTGGGGGTGTAGTGATGGGTAATGACAACAAGAGGAGGAGGAACGGGTACAAGTGGTCATGGGGCGTGCAGTCAGTTGGCAGGATGTGAGGTTTAAACAAAAGGAGAGGAGGACAGAGAGAGGAGAAAGGGTTAAAACAAAAAAAGGTCAGTAAACACGAAGAATGTAGCTTCACACAGCACAAGTGGCTAAATTAAAATGCACTGTCACTATGGGAACACTAGAAAAAACAGAAGAGAAAAAAGATTAACAATGAAATACAGAAAAAAGGCAGAGACAATATGTACTTTGAATTTACAGGTATGCTCAGCTTCTACTGAAATCAATACATCCTAAATCTTATGTTTCCACGATCAAACTTACAGTAAATCCACTGAGCACGACACATTACTGGGAAAACATGCTACGTACAAGTAATATTGTCTCTCCAACAACTCAAGAATGATTTCAACTAATGGACAAAAATGAAGGTATGAAATGGTAAGCTGAAAAAAACAAGTTAGTTTTTTAAATAAACGTAAAATTCACAGTGAACAAAGTGGCAGGTCAGAAATGTGTCTGTCCCCGTCTTCAGTCGGGGGGAGCTCAACTCGTCTCATAACCACGATGGAGGCCAAAACACACTGGTTGCTCTAGAACTGACGACTTGAAACCATTGGGTAAACTCACGACTAGTGTTGCTCAACGTGCACTAACACACAGGTGGAAGCAGGACGTGCACTGACCTCGGGGTTCAGGTTGCTGACCAGCAACACGTTGTGTCCTCCAGCCGCAGCAAGCCCCGACAGGCCCAGACGACTAGCTGCCGCTGCAGCAGCTGCCATGCCAGAATGACCCACACCCAGGGACGCCAAGGCGCTGGGGATACCAGGCATCGACAGACCTAACGGAGACAGACGTTAAGACAAACCAGAAGAACGCACCACGTGGGACGGTGTCAGGAACAGCACCCATCCACTGACCTGCAGCCTGCTGGATAGTAAAAGCTGGGGAGAAGGCATGAGCTCCACCGAAGGGGGAGGCTGAAATTATTCCTGGTGCAGCTGGACACGGAGAAAATGTCTCATCATTACAACTAGCTTATTATTAGTAGAAGTTAGTGGGGAACCAAAAGAGACATCTGTCAAAGTCAAAGCAGACAACGGTGTCGGGTCTTACTGAACGCGGCAGCTGCCATGGTCTGAGGATCAATGGACTGCTGGGAGTCGGCCGTGGGCAGATCTGGGCGGGTGTAGTCTCGGCTCTTGTCGTTGTTGTACTTCACATTGAGGCAGGTGAGCTTGGAGAAGCTGATTCTCAGGGTACAGCAAGCATTGTAGATATTTTGGCCATCTAGAGACTAAGCAAATATGAAGGCCTACAATAAAACCATTGATAGTTGCCATGTTTGAGCTCTACTTTATTTCCTGTAATTACATTGGTTTCCTTGAAATGAAGTTCATTTGGACCCGTCTAAAGAGGACTAACAGACTACAAAAGCAAGCAGACATTTGCCTTTCACCCAGGTCTGGGGAGATCTGGATGGAAACGTTGGCACAAGTGAAAGAAGTCTTACGAGTTTGGAATGCTGAGCGGTCATGGCGTCGGCGTACTGGATCAGAGCCTGAAACTGGCCGTTCTTGGTAAACGTGATGATTTTCAGCACTGTACCAAACTTTGAAAAGATCTGGAGGAAAGAGACAAGCCGGGTAACAAAACTGAAATGAAATGTTACAAACTTACTTTCCCATCACTGATGTCCAGAAAAACAAAGGAGGGACGTCACATGACGAACAATTCTGTTTGTAAATGATGTAATCGTAGTACGAGTATGTTCAGAGAGTCACTAGTACTGCAGCAGCTCCACACCACAAAGGCCAGTGACACGACAACTAGAAGGGCCGGTACAGACGTTCGGGGACCCGTCGTATCGGTGAGAATTCATTCAACCTTTATTCAACAGGTTCAGTCCACTGAGCTTCGGGGACTCGTTTACAACAGAGACCTGATAATAGTCACAATATGCAGATACAGGAACTTATAGTTTTCACACAAAAATGCTGGAACCAGCTGTAATTGCACAAAGTATCCAGCAGAGGGCGCATGAAGACAACTTTCAAGTCTTGGCCGTCCACTTAAGTTTCACTTTCAGCACAAATGAAGCAGCGAGCAACACTGTGCAGAGTATTTTACTGAACAGAACATGATAAGTTTATTTTAACTAATCTGTAAAATAAAAATAATAAATTCTCTTCAATCCTCCAACTCGCTTGTCATTAGCCTCTCAAGTTAGCAAGCTAACATTTATATAACGTAGCATAGGCTATTTCCTGTAAAACTTTATCAGAACAATAAATCTAACGTAGAGGTAAAATATATCAGAGTTAGTAACGTTATCTTTGTCGTCCTCAATGAAATGCATCGTTTGTATGAAATCTTTACTTCTCTGCAAAAAATACTAAACTCTGCTGCGGTCAATGCTAATTAGACCAGTGTTTTCCAAAGTGGGGGCCACGGCCCCCTGGGGGGCTGCTAGGGGGACCCCAGAAAGCTGGCGAGAAGATAAAAAAATAATAAATATTGCCCACTAGGTCAATGTGTATCTGTCATTTCCAGACAAACACACTGGAGAGACGTTAGATTTGGGAATAGAATACAGTGTTTACAACTTTTTTATGCTCAGCTGCTGAGCTGAATATGGTAAAAAAAAAAAAAGAAAAGATCTGAAGCTCTCGACCTTTGACCTCTCTAAGTGGCTTTAAGAACCTGTTGGACTCCTGGCAGGGACCAATGCAGACATGTTCCTGTTTTTAGTTTCTACATTCGCCTTAGAATCCAGCTGTTTTTGTTACTTTTCTTGTTTAGCCTTCCTATTTGTTAAAAAAACATCTGTATGACGTTTTACAACAGTTTATTGTTGTCAATGTTGTCCTCACTCTTTGTTAAATCAGGTCTCTGTTGTAAACGAGTCCTCGAGGCTCAGTGGGACTAACCTGTAGAAATAAAGCTTCAATGAATGGTGAATCAGTTAAAACATTATAAAAGTTCATGTTTCTTTACATATTTTGTAGAATTATTTGTGGGTTTGCGAGGGGGCCTTGGCCAGAAGCTAATGCTGGTTTATTGTGTGTGTGTGTGTGGGTGGGGGGGGTGGGGGGGGCATGGAATGGAAAAGTTTGGGAAGCCATGAATGAGACTTTCACCATACGTGACTGTTTAAACAGTGAACAGGAAGGGGTTTGTTTAATTTATATTTTTCTAACACACTTGACAAAGTCATAGTGAAGGACAGAAAATGTGAACGCAGGTCAGGAAGACCAGTGCTCCACCTGTAAACCTGCTGTGGGACCACGTACAGCTGGATCTGCTTAGCTTAGCTTCATGGTTGCTAACAGCTGTGCTAAATAAACAAGCCCCGCCCCCCTCGCTGTTTTCTTAGATTACTGGGGGTGAACAAATTGCAGCCATTATATCGGTTATCAGCATCCACCTTCCTCTCTCAACATCAGTATCGGCGATTGCCAAAACTTCTAAATGTGTCGGGCTCTAATAAAAACACTAAATATATTAACTGAGCTCGTAGTATCACCTGATAAAACAAAGTTACAGATTACAGCAACTAAAGTTACTCAAGTGAAACATGTGCAATCATAATATTGTTGAGGAACTCTAAATAATTTAGTTTTTGAAGAGACCAAACAACAAACTTAAGACAATATAGAGAACCTTAACGGATAACCAAATTATTGATGACACTTTGGCCCATTTCCCCCATACCTAATTAACAAACTTCAGGTGACTGTGAGAGAGTTGGAAAACCATGAACACACTTCTAAATGTTCACACGGTTGAGACAAACGTCTTGCAGCTGCCTGTACCTGGTGTAGAACATCAAGGGTGACGGGGTAAAACAGGTTCTCTACAATGACTCGGAGTACAGGGCTTTGGGTCATTGCTCCTGCCATGCTACTAGCATCAGAAGAGATGGTCACACTTCCTATTCCTCCTCCATGCAGGGCATTGACTGCCTGCAGAGCTGCTTGAGCACGCTAACACAAACACAGAGAGAGGATTCTGTTAGCTTGAATGACGTAAGGCAACACGTGAGTATGTTCTATAAACTAGTGCAAAACAAAGCTAGAATAACCAGCAGGGAGGAAGATGCACAGTTTCTACATCTACCTACACTTTGAGCTCCAAGGATGTTGCAACAACTCCAACAGTGGAAAATGTCAACGTGAAAAGCTCTTACTACTTGGTTCGGGGAGTTGTCCGTCTTGAGTTCCTTATGAGTCGAGTACTGCACGTAGATGGGATGGTTTCTGATGACCGGGGTAATAGAGGAGTAGTAGCTCACCATCGTCTGTGCACACTCCTCACTGTTCAGTTCCAAGAAGGCCTGAAGGACGAGTAATACAAATACTGTTTGTCTCTGGTATAGACCATTATATTATTCAGTGGTACTTGAGTTGGTGAACCTTTACAATATTCTATATTTCTGCATCAACATGACCATCTGATAAAACATCTGCTGTTTTTCACACAAGTCCTAAAAGTAGCTAAAGCCCAATTAAATAAATGAGACACATAGCACACATGGTCATTTATTGAGGAAAATGATCCAATATTACATATCGGGATACGTTTGTGCACCAACTGTTACTCACGTAAATGCTTACTCCACCTCCCCGCAATTTCCCCGTTACCTTGCTGCAGGTCCGCTCCAACAAAAAGTCTGTGGTCCAGCTGGAAGGCTGAATCTGGCATGTGGCTGTTAATAAATAATAAAGTGCTGTGTGTTGTCATATGTTCCCATACAAAGATGAAATTGGTTCTCTGCATTTAACCCATCACACCTGGGATACACCCAGGTGGAGCAGTGGGCAGCTATGCAAGCGCCCGGGGAGCAATTAGGAATTGGGTGTGCTGCTCAGAGACACCACGACATGTGCAGTGACCGGGGATCGAACCCAGGACCTTCGGATCCTGAGTCGGCTGCTCTGCCCCTACACCAGCTCGTTAAGCCATGATTGCGTGAGACAGAGGTACCCACTCGCTCAGACGAAGCAAATCCATCTCGTTGAACAGAAACAGAGATGGTATCAGGAGTCTGCCAGCATTAAGGTTGTTCTCTTTGCACCAGCTCTCCAGGTGTTCCACCTCCTGCCTGTAGCTGGACTCATCATTGTTTGTGATGCATCCCACCACCGCTGTATCATCTGCAAACTTTACAATGTGACAGCCTGGATGGGTAGGTGTGCAGTCATACGTGAACAGAGTAAACAGGAGGGGGCTCGACACACAGCCCTGAGGGAAACCAGTGCTGAGAGTTATGGTGGAGAAGAAGTAGTTGTGGATCCTCACTGACTGAGGTCCGTTTGTTAAGAAGTCCAGGACCCAGTTGCAGATGGAGGGGCTTAGTCCTAGTGTGAGTAGTTTGTCCATCAGGGTTTGGGGGATCATGGTGTTGAAGGCAGACGTGAAGTCCACAAAGAGCATACGGATGAAGGAGTCCTTCTGCTCCAGGTGGGTGAGAGCAGTGTGGACCAAAGGAGATGGTTGTCCTCTGTTGATTGATCCTTGCAGTACGTGTACTGGTGAGGGTCCTCATTGATGTTTGTTGTGATGTGGGTCATGACCCGTGTTACGAAGCATTCAGCGACTATCAGGGTGAGGGCTACTGGGCAATAGTCATTCAAACCAGTCACTGTAGAGCTGTTTGGAAACTGGGATGGCGGTGGTGGTCTTGAGGCAGGTGGGAACTGTCGCCATGGTGAGTGAGGAGATGTCGGCCAGCACCTCACAGGGCTGATCATCACAGTCTTTCTGCACCTTCCTCGGGATGTAGTCTGGGCCAGTTGCTTTGTGAAAATTAATCCTCCTGAAACGACACCTCACTTGGGCTGGGGTCACGCTGAGGAACTTCTCTTCCAGTTGTGAGGCCAGTCTGGAGCTGGGTGGTCTGTTATGGTCTTCAAAAGCATGGGTAGAACTTGATACAGGCATCAGGCAGTGATTAATCCCCCCAGGGCATTGTGCACTCCTGCCTTTATAAGCTGTTAAAAACTTAAAGCCTCACCACATGCTTTGTGGGTCTTGTGGGGTAAACTGACCCTGGAGCCTCTGTGCATGTGTGGCTTTGGCCATGTAACAAGACAATGACCCTCAGGAGTGGTTCTACCAAACAACGGTTCAAGAAGAATGAAGTTCATGTTGTGGAACGGCCAAGTCAAAGTTCTGACCTTCATCCAATCAGATGTGGAAGAACCTGAAGCTGCAGTTACTGTGAGGAAACCACCAACATCCAGAGATGAAGCCGTTCTTTGATCACTCACAAACACGATCTTTTGGATCATTGTCCTCAATAAATAAATTACCAAGTATAATATTTAGCCTCGTTTGTTTAACAGAGTTCTTTTTATCTACAAACCGGATTCCAAAAAAGTTGGGACACTAAACAAATTGTGAATAAAAAGTGAATGCAATGATGTGGAGGTGCCAACATCTAATATTTTATTCAGAATAGAACACAAATCACAGATCAGAAGTTTAAACTGAGAGAATGTTTCATTTTAAGGGAAAAATCTGTTTCCAAATTTCATGGCATCAACAAATCCCCAAAAAGTTGGCAAAAGTCCATTTTTCCCACTGTGTGGCATCCCCCCTTCTTCTTCCAACACTCAACAGACGTCTGGGGACAGAGGAGACCAGTTTCTCCAGTTTAGAAATAGGAATGCTCTCCCATTCATGTCTAATACAGGCCTCTAACTGTTCAATCGTCTTGGGCCTTCTTTGTGGCACCTTCCTCTTTATGATGTGCCAAATGTTCTCTATAGGTGAAAGATCTGGACTGCAGGCTGGCCATTTCAGTACCCGGATCCTTCTCCTACGTAGCCATGATGTTGTGATTGCTGCAGAATGTGGTCTGGCATTATCGTGTTGAAAAATGCAGGGTCTTCCCTGAAAGAGATGACGTCTAGATGGGAGCATATGTTGTTCTAGAACCTGAACATAGTTCTCTGCATTAATGGTGCCTTTCCAGACATGCAAGCTGCCCATGCCACAAGCGCTCATGCAACCCCATACCATCAGTGATGCAGGCTTCTGAACGGAGCGTTGATAACAACTTGGGCTATCCTTGTCCTTTCTGGTCTGGATGACATGGCGTCCCAGTGTTCCATAAAGAACTTCAAATGGTGACTCATCTGACCACAGAACAGTCTTCCATTTTGCCACACTCCATTTCAAATGACCCCTGGCCCAGTGCAAACGTCTGAGCTTGTGGAGCTTGCTTAGAAATGGCTTCCTCTTTGCACTGTAGAGTTTCAGCTGGCAACGGAGGATGGCACGGTGGATTGTGTTCACTGACGATGCTTTCTGGAAGTATTCCTGAGCCCATTCTGTTATTTCCTTGACAGTGGCATTCCTGTTTGAGGTGCAGTGACGTTTAAGGGCCCGGAGATCACGAGCATCCAGTAGAGTTTTACGGCCTTGACCCTTACGCACAGCGATTGTTCCAGATTCTCTGAATCTTTTGATGATGTTATGCACGGTTGATGATGATAACTTAAAAGTCTTTGCTATTTTACGCTGGGTAACACCATTCTGGTATTGCTGCACTATCTTTCTGCGCAACAATGGTGGAATTGGTGATCCTCTTCCCATCTTGGCTTCTGAGAGACACTGACACTCTGAGAAGCTCTTTTTATACCAATCATGTTGTCAATTGACCTAATTAGTGTTAATTGGTCTTCCAGCTGTTCGTTATATGCTCAATTTCCTTTTTCCAGCCACTTATTGCTACTTGTCCCAACTTTTTTGGGATTTGTTGACACTGTGAAATTTTGAATCAACATATTTTTCCTTTAAAATGTTACATTTACTCAGATTAAACTTTTGATCTGTCAACTATGTTATATTATGAATAAAATAGACATTTGCCATCTCCACATCATTGCATTCAGTTTTTATTCACAATTTGTTTAGTGTCCCAACTTTTTTGGAATCCGGTTTGTACCTTTAGGAATTGTGTGAAAATCTGACATTTTAAGTCATATTTATGCAGAAACATAGAAAATTATAAACGCTTCACAAACTTAAGCACCACTGTACAAACCATGCAGATTTACTGAACAGTTCCCAATGAGCAGTATCATTACCACATATCCATATAATTTTATACAACACAAGCTCCTTTGTCAAAGACAATTAACAGTGTATTTGTTGAATGAAACAAAAGAACCATTGTCTTATTCATGGTCGGGATCAAACCATGGTTTACCAGCCTTTTGGTAAGAAAGAAAATACAGTTACCAAAAGCAGACCATGTTTAACTCTTACCTGATTCTTCCCTTTCAGCATCAGCAGATTTGTGACCTTCCCAAAAGGCAGTCCCAGGCTTATAACCTCGGCCTCATTGATGTCGTTTGGCAGCTTGCGTACGTGAACCACACGTGATGGAACACCGGCACCGGGACTGCGGACATCACCTTTGAATTTTTTGCTGTCGTTGCCATTGGCTGCAAGAGAAAACAGAAGCAGATACAATCAGGGAGGGAACATTAGGCTCTGGTTCTTTGTGAATAATGGATCCATCACCATGGCAACACAAACAAGACAGACACACAAAAAGGACCCAGCTCCTCCACAGCAACCCTCCTACCTGAGTTCATGATATACGGTCCGCTGGATATGCAGGAAGAAAAGAGTTCGTCTGATCCCCTCTGCAGAAAAAAACTTTGTTTAATAATGAATTAACAGCATGGAAGGTAAAAAGCACCGTACTTATACTGACGAGCCATTGTGTGATAAAGCAGGACGTGATGACCTGAGAGGATGTAGCTAACATTTCAGAATAACTCTACCTTTCTGTTCTATGAAGAAGTCAGTGAGCAAATGAGTCAGCACGTATTTTAACATTTTCATCTCACTTGAGTCTCCTAACGAGCAATTAGAAAACCATACAATTAAATAGAGCTACAAAGTGTTTTTAAGCTTTAGGCAATAAGGACAGCGTGGCAGTTTGTCACACTTCAGCCTAACAGCTGTCGGTACGTCGTCCTTTCATTCATCCAGAGGAGTTAAGAACACGAATGCTGCAACATGCAAGTCAAGATGGAACTGTCACAGTCCACCATTGTCTGGTCCCAACTCGCTCTTCAGTGTATATGAAGTGCCGTTGTCATGGTTCGGTGCGTTTGTAATGAAGTCATGAAGAAGTGGCTCAGCAGTCTGAGCTCTACAAGCCTCCACAATGCACGTCCTGTTCAGGCTGAGACTGGAGGGATTGTTACGGAGCGGCCCCCACACACGACACTTCAACAAACACCTCTGCTCCCAATGACCACCACAGCAGGTTGACTAGCACCCGTCCTACATCTACACATACGAAGAGGTGGCAGCTTGCACAGCACGCCCATCTAACCACTTTTATTTCCCCCTTCTTGTCAGATAATTGATCCCATACCTTGATGGATTAAAACATAAAACTCCACACTACTGTGTCCAGGAACATATAAAAATAGATTTGATGAAAATCTTGAAATGAACAAAGAGCAACAAGGCCACGAATTATCTGAAAACCAGCTCCAACTTGACTCCAGGATTATGATGTTCTGTTACAGCAGACAAACTGCTCACAGGAAGTCACAGCTAACCAATTGAAATACTTTAATAACAGTTGTTGGAACATTTAGTCTGTTTTAAACTTGGATTTTCCTCCAGACTAGAGAAGAACTTGTTGCTTGTGAAAGATGCTGACACAGAAAGTAAGAAATGCTGACTCAGACCAACTGTTCAGTGCTTTGAACAGAACATCAGTGCCTGAAGATTTGCTATAACTCCAGTTCTGTTACATTGCAGAACAAGTCAACGCGATGACATGTACTCTAAAGTCTTTGTGGCTTGGTGGGCAACACTCAGGGAAACCACAAAGGAGAGGAGAGCAGGTACAGACATGTGGGCCGGACCATGACCAGGCTGCGTCTGCAGAGGGGGAGGAATGCATCCTCAACAGGGGGAGAGAGGAATGTGACCACAGAATGCCAGACGCTCTGCCCAGACAGAAAAACTACAGACTCCACGGAAGCAGGGCCCCAAGCTCCTCATCCCACTCACAACCACCTTTACAGAAACTCAAAGGACAAATTAGAAACGGGAAAGCTCAAGTATCGTCCGAGATGAGCCGGCGCATTGTTACTGAAGGTGGAAGAACAGGTCTGAGAGAAACAAATAAAGGCGTGGTGGCGTCCCTGGAACAGGCGGGAACATCACAATCTCACGACAACACTACGGCCTTTGGCCACAAGAACGAGGGCCGTTGTGCGAGGACAGTTTCAGCCAAGAGTTACGATCAATGATCAATAAGTGGTTGAGGGAGTCACCAGGGCTTGTTACTACTAGGTCAGGAGGACTGGGCAGTTGTCAAGACAGCACTGACAGTTCAACAGGAGCTCTGGAGCGCAGCGTTTCCCCGTCCCATTAGACAAGCGGGGTGCCCTGCACACAGAACCGAGCGCCCCGTCTACGAAACCCCCGCCCCCACCTGCCGGCACTGACGCACGGCTCTCAACACAGGTGAGCTGGTTCAAAAGCTAAAGGCAGCCTCTTCACGACACTCGTACTGAAGTATGAGTTCCACAAAATCAATTCAATTTATTTAAATAAACTCTAATTAGGTATTTAAATAAAATACTTCATTAAAATAAAAAGGAAGTTTCATTTATCGGCTGCACTGACAAGTGGACAAAAACCAAGAAAATATGGCAGCCCCACGTCACTTTCAGCTTTAACATATAAAGTTGAGCGTCCCAGAGGACGTAGGCACCGTGCACGTTCATGGTCCCAGGCGAGGACGTAGGCACCGTGCACGTTCATAGACCCAGGCGAGGACGTAGGCACCGTGCACGTTCATAG